TTTGAAAAAAACTGAAAAATTCAACTCTTTATATTTTGCAATAGTAAAATAACACTTCAGAATTCAGTATATCAATTGTTCCTTGTTAAAAAGAAAAACTTCAGAAGGAAAGAGAGAGAGAGAGAGAGAGAGAGAGGTGTATACATTTAATGAAGGATGCTAAGAAATGGTTGCAAAACGTGAATATGATTTATGCTGAAATATGGCACTGAAACTGTGGACTGAGATGGAGATGTTAATGAAATACATGGTAAGTAAAGGCAACTGCAAAATTATTTTATAATTTAACTTAGCTGAATAAAGGGATGTGGCTATTTTTGAAGTATCTTACCAAGTCTATTAAATCTTACATGTTTTTAATATATAAGATTATTGTTTTACTGAAGAAACATAAAACCCTCATTTTATTTGTAGCAAAATATTGCTTAAAGGCCTATAGTAGATAACAGCACCTAGTCCACCGGCTGATCTTAAAAAGCGATGAAGATTGGATATGATTAGGTCTTGGATGGAAAATCACCCAGGAATTCCAGAGCTGTTGGCTTGATTGGATAGCTGAAACCTGGAAAAAGGAATGGTGAATAACTTCCATGGTGCTATCCAGAAAACTATACAGACATGTCCATAAATTCACTGAGAGTCAGGTTTGATTCACAGGAAACTTGATCTTTCATCACACATGATCAATGAACTAGGGAACTTCAGAAGTTTTTCTCCACTGCTTTCCATACTGGTATTTCCTATTATTTTGAGATCTGAGACAACCTCAGAAACAGAAAGGTAATGTAGGAAGTGATTTGAACTCAATTTAGGGGGAAACTGATTGCAAGCTGCAACCTCTCTCCCTTTCATTGCATTAAGATGCAAACCTCTGCTAAAGTACCAAATGAAAACTATGATTTTTAAATTTTTTAATTCTAAGTTTCTTGTATAAAGTCAAGCACAATGAAAATTACATTTACTGGAAAAGCAAGGATGAGCACCTACATAAGAGCAGAGGAAAAGTAACCAAGATCCTAAAGCACCATATGCCCTTGGAAGCCATGGGCGTGTCCCGAGTTTTCCAAAAATTGCTATCAAAATTGGAAGTATTAAATATATAATTGGACAGTAGGGATGCACAAAACTAAACATTCGAGGAAGCACCAGACATCTCTCAGAACAGTCAGACTGCACAGTGTGGTAGAGGAATAGAAGTTGGTTTTATACAACAGTGCTGGATGGTAACCCTATCAAGTTATTATTACAGCTGCATTCAGCTATGGCTTCCTTTGAGGTATCTGCATATCCATGCAGAATCCCAAACAAATGCTTTGGGTTAGTTTTGTTGATAAGGAGAAGCTGGAAGTGGAGCACAGTTCAGTTTGTCACCGGAAGTGTTCCCCATAGGAGAGAAGGGATAGCTACAGATGCTGGAATGGTAGGATCTTAAATTACCAGAGGAACTATGGGAATGAGAACTGGGGGAGAGGTGTAATGCTTGGAATCAAAGAGTGTCCTAGACAGCTCTGACTACTGAAGATTTGTGGTTTTAATAAATGATAAACCTGAGTTGATAAACCTGAGTTGGATTAGGCACTGTTTACCCTACTGAAGGTTTGTCAGAGGGCAAATCTGGAGGAGACTGCTGAAGAGTTTTGAAGTATGGTCCAGAGAAGTGTTCCGAAAATTCAAAGAGGAGGATGTAGTACATCTCAGGATGTAGTCTATACTATGCAGATGATCCCCCAGGGAATGAAGAAGATAGAAAATTAAAGGTTTAACCACCTAGAGATAAGCCAGCCACCAGCCTGACTGACAGAGGGAAAATTGCCATCAATATTTGCAAGCTCTTTTTAAACCTTAAATTAGGAAGTAGATAGAATCTAGGTATAGAGCAATGCACATATGCACTAAGCTAACATTACAGAGTGCGTACATATTTGGGTAGAAAACTACAAAATATTAATCAGCCAAAAAAAAAAAAATTCCATTATTCTGCTGTGATTCAAAATTGGGAGAAGGTAGTGACAGACCTTAGCATCTCTATAGATAATCTTACTAACTCTTGTAGGAACGTAGCTGGGGAATCAAAACTAAATGCTAAACAAATACTTGTTTCGAATGTCTGGTTGTCTGAACAAAAGGGAAAAAAATCTGAAATAGTATTTTGTGTTGAGCTTCTATCAAATCCTGAGAACCCAGAGAAAGTCCTACGTACCTTTAATTAACTATGAGTGTAAATGAAATGAAATCAAGTTTAGTGATTGCCCTAGGCCCACTTTTGGAAAAGTAGCCCCTTGAACACTATTCAAAAGCTAAGCATGGCTCTCAGTTTATAAAGAATTACATACTCTTGATGAAGAGGGATTATATATGATCTCTCTTGGATCCTTGATTATATATTAATTCAGTATAAAATTATTTGTTTTTAAGATGGTCTGGAATGGAAAAATAATAAAAATATAAAATAATATGAAATGAAGAAATACAGCAAGACATGTATAAGCTGAATATGAAAAAATCAAAATATGCCGCTCTTGGCATCAAAGGAAACCCTAATAACTACCAAAATCATCTTGGAGATCTAGCATGTAAATTATGACTGTGGTTGCACAACACATTACACTCCACGGTCTACTTAACCACTGTTAATTGAGTTAGCCCAACTGCCTGGGTTCACAGGACTGAACCATAAACTAACTATGATGCACTTCACCACAGACTAGGTGATCATACTTTAGCCTAGCATCCTATGCAAATTAAGCCTGTGCAGTGGTATGCATTTCAAACTAAAATTCAAAGAAGTTGTACTGACTTAAATGTAGCTTCAAGAATGTTATTCACTATTGTCTCATAAATAAGAAATGTGCACAATATTCACTATATTACTGATCATAAAGTAAAGCCCTTGCTTATTTGCAAGATGGATGGCAGGATTCATATAGTCAATTGCCCAATAAAAATTACAGCTTTCTAGTTAAGACAGCACTCTGTGCAAATGTACAGTTTAACTGCTACCTTTTTTTCTTCTTCTTTTCCTTTTTCTTCAGTTTTTCTAAGTCTTTTTTAGCTAGATCCAGGATTTCAATTGTTTCCTTATCAGAAGGAAGCATTGAGGCAGAAAACGCTGAGGGCCCACCAAAGTATGTTGACCTTGTTGAAGCTCTTGACAAGTTGCGCCGAAGGTTTTCATTCACTGCTTCACTTTCCAATAGTTTTGCTCTTGAGAATATATAGAAAAGAAAGCAGAAGAAGAAAATGTCAAATATAAAACTAACAAGAACACAATAGCATATTCAAAATTCTAAGCAATTATTTCACATACATGTATTTGCAGAAAGTGGGTCTGGAATTGCATGAATATGAAGACAGGCAAACAACAGTCACATAATATTTTCATCATGATATAGCATTTTTAACAATGCACACAGTTGTCTCTTTCATACCAAATTCTTATGCATTGTTAAAAAAAAAGGATATGGACAGGCCAATAGATGTATAGACAGCACTAATGTGTTTGTCAGCTTTTTGCTCATCAGGATGGGAAAATAAGGTTAGTGGATAAAATTTTTAGATCAGTAAACCACAATGTGAAACTACAGTTTTTCTTGGATTACTGACTGCAACTATTCCTGATTTGGTTTTGCACTCCACCAAAAAGTAATAAATGAGCCAAAAAGATGATTAATGTGCTTCTTCTATAAAAAATGGTTAAACCAAGCAATGGCTTAGTGAGATGTGAGAATTCCGTATAATTAATCTCTTTACCTTACTTTAACACAGTTATATGGAGGAGATGGAAAACTTTTGTTCCTATTTTCAATCAACTGCAGTTTAGTGTTATGATGCACATCTGTGGTTAGTCTTACTCTGTGATTTATTGAACCAGCCTACTTCATAAGCCATAGTTGAGACTGCCACAATTTGTCTGGGTTCAGATATTATGCTAAACCTGCTGAGACTATTGTCTCATGTGTAGGTAAGTTTTTCCCAACTTCATCCTTCCAGATGTGGAAGAAGCTATGCTAGCTGTGAATTCTGGAACTTGTCATCCAGTACCTGGATAAAAATTTAGCTACAATCTTCTATAGTCTAAGCATATACAACTAAGCCAAAATTATAACAATATCAGAATACTACCTGAGATCCTCAATTTCCTTGATATAGTTATGAATCATATTACTGATTTCTTCATTACCCTCTCCTGTAAGAAGAACAAAACTCTAAGTTGGGTATTAGATGGAAGTACATGTTTTTAAATGTACTAGACTTGTACAAGGATATCAAAACATTTAAATAAACCAGTCTGAAGGGGTCATAATACAGATGAAATACCTGAGGTGTGTATGAGAATATATTTTCTAGCCATGCTCATACACACATGCATTGGAAAGGCTATTGAACAGATTATCATTCACTCCAAGAATAACTGGATAACCATCAATTATGAGAAATTTTAATTTCTCAAACTAAGAGAAACTAAGAAATGGGGCTAAATACGAAACATGTTTAACTAAAGCTCATCAATATTCTAAAGCCATTCTTTACTTACTCCTTTCTCAATTCTTTCACAGAATCCCAATGCAGATCCTTGGCATTTGTCTTTCGATCAGTTTCAACCATTCCCTACTCAGTTTGGTATACAATCCAAGCTTTTTGACTACACTCATTTTTTGGCCCAGATTGTGCATAACATTTTCAAGTCATTTCTTCGCAGAAGAGAGCTCTAATTCAAAAAACTCAAATTCTTTTTACCTTGGTCTGATACTAAGCAAGATTTATAAAGGTCTCAACTTAACAGGTAGAACTGTAACTGTTAGTCCTGTCCTCTCATTCCTATTTGCTGTAAGGAATGCCCCGTTCATCGAGAGAAACTCCCGTTACACGTGAAGTTCACAAAAGAGGTTTACTCAAGCATAACGCAACAGTTACAAACAAAGCCTTGGCACATTTCGTGTGATATCTTGCCACTGTTTTTCCATTTGAATTTTCCAAAGTCTGAATTTCCTAAGAATGTCAAAATATGGAAGAACCTTTTCACTGGCATGCTTTATTTGTGATACTGAAAATGTCTTTTAAACACATTCCGTTATATTTGCAAAAAAAAATAGAGAAAGAGTACCACAATCTTTGCTGATAGGATTTACAAGTCATTCTGATGCATGGCATTTAGTTAGCTACTTAGGTAGCTCTAGCTTAGATACTGCTAGATCAAACTGAGCAGACAAGTTTTTAAACATGGCCATCAATACAAGACCACTTATGGTAGCTCTGCATTAATACCTTACTTATAGCAGCTCATTTTGTACAGTTGTCTGATTAATAAACACTAGATTTATTATCAAATTCTGCCATGAATCCCCTTCATGGATCACTGCCTTGTCGTGGCGAAGGGGCTTGCGTAACTCAGTGAAGCCATGAGCTATACCGTGCAGGGCCACCCAAGACGGACAGGGCATGACAGAGAGTCCTGACAAAGTTTGGTCCACTGAAGAAGGAAAGGGCAAGCCACGCCAGTATCCTTGCCAAGAAAGCCCCAGGGACAATGTTAAAAGGCGAAAAGATATGACGCCGGAAGATGAGCCCCTCAGGTCGGAAGGTGTCCAAT